CCCTGGTTTGCTGCTTCCTCTGCCGTGGGCATCAACCGCTGGCGGTGAGTGGGTCGAGGAGGCCGCGGGTGGGCCCTAGGAGACCGGGCAGGCCTGGAAAGGTGGTGGGGAGGGCTTCCGCGGCAGCCGGAGCGGCACACGTTGCCTTGGCCGGACCGGTCCACGTATTGCTGGAGAGGAATTGCCCTTCCCGGTTGGCCTCGCCACGGTTTTCGCAGCGGCGTTGCCTCACTGTGTGGGAGGGTGCCTTCAACTTTATGCAATATCATCAGACCTGCTCCTTATAAGCTGGGCATCCAAGCTCCCAAGTATTGGAGGAGCAATCGCTGGACGCTTCGCTTTGGGAAATTCTTTCTCCTGAATTTTCAGAGCCAAGCACAGACACTCCTCAGAGCTGCGTGACCGCACCACGCCTTCCTTCCCTCTGCCCTTCGGCTGCCGAGTGCGCGTAGGCATCTACACGCACGCCTGCTTTCCTCCCATCCCCCAGGTTTTTACGGAAATACACTTTGGCTGCTGTTTGCAAGGTAGAGATAAAGCTGTATGGGCTTTTCCTCTCTCTACAAATTGGAAGATCTATGGCATGAGTCATGCCTGTGCAGGGAGCAAGACTTCATATACCGGTAGCCAGAAACATTACATAATGCTATTGTGTCAGGTCTCGGCTGCCTAAACATTTGGAAACCCAACCCAGGTACGGATGCTCCGCTGCTAGACTCTCCTGCATACAAGTGAAACAGATCTCCCTTAGCCCTCCCACCACCCTGTCAGGGGTAGTGGACAGGACAGCCACCTGGCTCAACATCCTTTAAATGCTCTTTGAAATGTCACGTGGCTGAGCGTTAGGTAAACTGTGGTTGTAACTGATGGCCTCTGCTGTGCACCGTGGCTGTATCTTAGAGGAAAGGGATAGTGTGGGTGATTTCTAGGCATTTCTAGAACCCCCATCAGAGGATGGCTTTAAAACTGTAAATGTGCGGAAATGACCACAACGTACACATTCAAATTACAGAAAATTGTGGATTCTGTTACAGCTTAATATCCTGAAGTGATCTTTCCGTAGACCAGATTTTCTACAGAAAATGTCTTTCACGTGCTGCTGTTGTGGCTAGCTGTCCTCATTTGGAAGAAGCAAAGCAATGCCCCCAAAAGATTAATTCCTGATCCATTTAATCCTTGTTTGTTTCCACCAACATTGTGGAGGGAGGGAAGCCGGCAGTGGTAATGAAATGTACGAGCAGATTAAGTTTTTAAAAACAATGTTTTCTTGGAGGTGCACGCCTGCTGCAGCTGTCAGAAACAGCACCACTGGCTGTTAGGCAAAAATGTATTAGCAAGTTACCTATATTTACTGGAGCTCCTATTGGGAACCTTGGGCTTGTTTTGCTATTTTTTTTGGATGTGGTTACTTGTATTCAGAGTTCTGTGCTCCAAAAGCAAATGTTTGACCTAGCTCCCAGAAATTTATCATGTTGAAAATCCCTTATTATTTAACTGCACAGCATGTGCAAGCCGTATAGGACTAACCCTCATCTAATATTTAGAACACCTTGGAAAGCTGCTATTCCTATTTAATAGATGGAAGGCGGGCTGGGGTTAGGGGAGTGGTTTGTTGAGGTTACCCGGACCTGGTTCTGGGCATTGTAGACCCATGTTTCCCTGAACCCCAAGGCCCTTTCTCCCTCGGGAAGCGCAGAGGAAGCTTGTTCTGTCTCAAAGCTTGCAGTTCGTACTACGGGCAGTGCAGCAGAGGTGAGAAGTACTCACTTTGCAGGGCAATTGTACCTTAGCTTTCCTTAGCTGCATGTGGCCTTAAGGGAGCTGGTGCAGATACTCATGTCTTGCAGGTCACACTGCAGAGTGGGCTTGTAGGATTTAGGGAGAGGTAGAGGTTGGCAGGCTGACTAACAAAGGGTTGCGAGTTTGCCGGCAGTGCCACGTGCTGTCACAGAGGTTACAGTTTAAAGCTGGTGTCTTTGTTGCAGAGTTAAGACAAAAGGAAGTGAAGTTACAATGTAGATGGGGTGATGTGTGGCTGTGAAAGCAAACATGATACATCTAATGTTTTATAGCATAGTGAAGGATCAGTAAGACACACCATTAAATGCAAAAAGCACTTAAATGCTTTCCTACAGCATTTTCAGGGTGGGAGGGAATAGATGAATATCTTGGCTTATGCTCATCTTTGCGTCTTCATGGTGGAAGATAAACTGCAGTTTTCTTTGCAACTCTTCAAAATACAGGTGATTTTTGCCTTGAGAGATGTCGGTGCTCAGTCTCATGCTACTGATGAGCTAGGATTGTAAGTTTCTCTGCTGTGAAGTTGCCTTTTTGTAGCCAGAACTGTAAAACTGGCATGGTTCTTGTAGTAGTTTGTTACTTTCCTTGGAGTAGTGTATCGAGATCTTTCTGTCATATGCAAAATCCCTCCAGCCCCAGAAGCCATGAAAGACTATACCGAAGGGAATTACATGGTCTCTGCTTTTCTCCATGTCGTAATGTGGAGAGAGCAGCTGGCAGAGGGTGCTTCCAGCTCTGAGAGAGAACATGGGTAAGGGGTTGCAGGAAGAAGAAAATCCTGGAAACCTCTTGCATCTGGACAAGCAGAATATGCGTGTAAATGGCTGTGAGCTGGCTGGTGCTGCAGTCTCGTAGCAGTTGGTAGACAGGTGAAGGATGGATATGAATTCCATTCTGTTTCTTGTCCTAACTTTCAGTTTGATTTGGTGATGCAGGTTTGCTGGAGTTGCTTGCAAATTCTCCTCATTTGTCTTTTAGCTGTAACAGGACTGAGTGACGCTAACTGCTGTTGTTTCTTCCCTGCAGATTTCTGCTCCAGTCTCTGGAAGATCTGGACAACAGTTTAAGGAAACTCAACTCTCGCTTGTTTGTCGTGCGAGGGCAGCCAACAGATGTCTTCCCAAGACTCTTTAAAGTAAGAGAATAATTTTCTAGAGCATAGTGAAGAAAAACTGATGTTCCCGTGCTATCCTTGTTTTCACTCACGAATGATTTGCCAGTTGTTGGAGATCCCCTCAGCTTCTCTTGAACTATAACTAATTCTTTGCTATAACAAACTCTTCTCTGTAACTGCTGCTAACTAACTGCTATCCCTAAGAGACAGCTTGGGAGCCAGACAGAGTCTTGAACTCAGAAATTCAGCAGTAGGGTGTAGTCTAGTGCCAGGATGCTTGAGCTTCTCTTTTTGGTTGGTGGTCTTTGTGTGTATTTCCGTAAGTCCGGTCTCACAGGGTTGCACTGTAACACACTGACTCCTCTGCGTTGAGAGCTTCTTTCCTACTGGCCGTTTTCCTCCTGCAGCTTGTACTCAGGAGGTCTGCTGTGTCCATACACCTTTACAGACAACTGAAAAAGCATATTGCTCTGTATGTGAATTGCAGATAGAGCTTTGTATTAAAATGTCAAAATTCAAAAGCTTTTGTGTTAGCTGACCTTCCTTTCCTTCTTCAGTTCAAGGCTGCAATTCAGTCAGCTCAGCAGCAGAATACAGCTTGGGTCCAAGAGTCCTGCTGATGTACCATTTAGGACTGTGGAATATGCAGTGACCTCAGTGGTCGATGATGGATTAGTGGGGTACATTTCTGAAGTGATCTGTCACTGCTGCAGATTGTGAGAGAGACAGGGCTGGCAAAAGCATCTCCTTGAATATCAGGGTTCCCCAAGCCGCATCATTCTTCTCTAAGATTGTATTTCCTGTTGTCTTTGAAGCTTTTTGATGGTGTCTTTGCTAGAGTGACAAAGGTAAATGAAAAAAAACATGGTTCACAATAGTCTGACGAGTTGGGCTTGTCACGTGTACTGCGCCTTACATACGGTTGATGGAACTAGTGTCCCCAAACCCTGCTAGAGACCAGCTGCTAAGAAGGAGAGGTAAACTTGAATCTATACCGTTCTGATGTGGATTTTCTGGCAGAGGGGAATCAGACTATGCAGGTCAGAAAGGGCACTGATATTTATTTTGGCTTCTGCACCTTAACATGTGACGCAAACTACGTGCCGCTTTTAGCCTTTTCAGAGTCTGGGCTATTTTTATAGACCTGCAAATAAGTTCTGGCTAGTAGTAGTCCATGCCCTCCTTAATTTTAGTTAAAGGTATTTGCAGGATAATAAAGACTTTGTTGGAGAAAAATGTCTGCTTTGGCTAAAGAACAAAAAGTAATTGGCAGAGTCTGAGGTTTGAGATATGGTGGTAGAATCAGCCAGACCTGCTTTTTGCTGCAGTCTGTTTTGCCTGCGCCAATGAGTTGATGAGTCTCTTAAATGTGCTGTAACAGAGCTGAAAAGAATGTGGGCTATTACAGGGTAAATGTATGGCTTTCATGGGAATTCAGGCCTCTCCAGAGCTGCTTCACTGAACAGTGAATTAGCAGCACCTCATGCCTTGCTGTCAGCTGTTGTGGCGAACAGAGTTATGTCACATTAGGTAATGCAACACTTAGGCCTAATATAATTTCTGCTCTTGCTGCCAGTAGCTGAGCTATGTTGTCGATAACTGTTATTGCAAAGGCACCAGTATGCGTAGATATCGCGAGGAGAAGTGTACTTGTTGGCTACGTGTTAACCTCTGCTGAGATTTTTTTGTCTTGGTTCCTCTGAACAAACATCTGTGATTTCCCCTCTTCTACCAGAGAAAAGTGAATCGTTTGTTCACTGAGGTTTGCTCACAATACCTGTGGTGTGGTTTTTTTTTTTTCCCCAACAGTTTTTCTTTGCTATAGGCTAGATGCTAATAGACATATGAGTCACGATGTTTCTTTTAGAATCATAGAATGGTTTGGGTTGGAAGGGACCTTATCTAGTTCCACCCCCCTGCCATAGGCAGGGACACCTTCCACTAGACCAGGTTGCTCAAAGTCTCGTCCAGCCTAACCTTGAACATTTCCACGGATGGGGCATCCACAGCTTCTCTGGGCAACCTGTTCCAGTGCCTCACCACCCTCTCTGTGAAGAAGAGGATATATCTGCAATTTATTGTTATAGAGATTACTGTTTTCTGGTTGGTTGTGCTCTGCTTCCTGCATGCTGCTGTGGCACGGAGTGATGGGATTCTCAAAACTGCAGGAAATATCTGAAGTTTTTTATTCTTAAAATCTATGTTAGCCTTAAACAGTTTGGGTTTTTTCCCATTCCTTTCTTTCAAAGCAGCAATGTAGGTTTCTTTAAGACTAAAGCCATCTTTTCCAAGCCTTCTAGCTGATACTGTCTGTCTTACAGAAGAAGGAATGTTTAAAAGAAAGGTGTTAAATCATATAGGAGAGGGCAGGGCCTGGAGCATGTCTGTTTGACCCCTGCTCTGAGTTATTGATGCTGTCATGTTCTTATTTTGAAGAAGTGGAGGACCTCGCTCAGACGTAAAAGGTGTTAAATCATATAGGAGAGGCTAGGGCCTGGAACATGTCTGTTTAACCCCTGCTCTGAGATATTGATGCTGTCATATTCTTACTTTGAAGAAGTGGAGGACCTCTCTCAGACGTGCTTTCAGTGGTACGTAACTGTTGCATTTCTCTGTCTTTCCTAATACAACTCTTTGGATTGAATCTGAAAGTTTGGAAAAGAAGGGGGATTGTACGGATGTTTTCTGCTTCTAAATTTTCTTCCTTGTCTTTAGCATTAGTTTTTAATGGTCTTTAGTGAATTAGTGACATCTGTTCTTTGTGCTTTATTTCTGGTTCCAAGGTGGAAAAGACTGTCCTGCATATACAAATGACTTGGATTGTCTCACTCGGAGAATGTAGTTCACATTGTAGTCATGTGAGGGGTTTTTTTAAGTGTCTATAGATTCTGGCTGTGTTTGACTAAAGTGTTTGCTAAACAAATCTGTGGGCTGCTTCTCTGCTTGATAGATGTCTCAGGAGGGTCGCTGTGGAAACCATTAAACCTCTTCTCATAGGATTCATTTTCTGAGGAAAACTAGGCCATAGTCTTTGAGAGCAAACTGTGCTCTGGAAAAGCCTGGAAGAGGCTGAATGCGATTTCATAAGGCCTATTCCATGTAATCTGTGAGAGGTCTATTAAAGGTGTGAAGATACAGAATAGGTGCATGGCTCAACTAGGGTGAAATAACTCCCCAAAGGCAGGACTTCTGAGCTGCAGTATCATACTCTGCTGTGCTGACCAGAAAGGTTCACTCAGTTGTCCTCCTTTATTCTGTATTTCCCACTATCCTGGTTTTTGCTCTTTGGCTTGGACCGTGGTCCTCTCTTTTGCGATGACTTTACAGAGACACTGGAAAAAAAATTGAGAGTGTATTGATTTTACTTAATGATAGCATCCACATAAAAATACAGGGGTTTGAGCAGAACTTGCACTGAAGGAGTTGTCTGAAATGCTTTCGCTTCAAATGCTCTAACAGCATGGTGGGGTTACTTCTGAACAGCGTGTGCTGTTCGCACCAATGAGGTATTGTTAGGCTTGGGAGCTGAGCTGTAGCCTGCGAAGATTAATAGAGAAGAATTCAAACCTCCTCTTCCATGTTTTAAACTTAACATTTAGGATATTGCATAGCAGACGTGGCCTTTGCTTGAGCTGATAAAACTGTTGCTGTTTTGGTTATCTTGACTCCAGACTGCTGTTCCTTACAGGAACCCTGTCTTAAGTTTCCAGGATTTACAGCTGGCCAGGAATTCTGACAGCCTCATTTGTAATTGTGCTGGTTAGAAAGAGTATTCTGTTTGACAGCTGTGTGTGTCGTGTTTCTTGCAGGAATGGGGAGTCACTCGTCTCACATTCGAATACGACTCGGAGCCCTTTGGTAAGGAGAGAGATGCAGCTATCGTCAAACTGGCCAAGGAGGCTGGTGTGGAAGTGGTGATAGAGAACTCCCACACCCTCTACGACCTGGACAGGTAACGGGGAGAGCAAGGGCAGTGGTGCTGCCTGGGCTAGGCTGGGATTGTCATGTGTGGGAAGGCTTCAGCCTCCTTCATCATGCTGATAGCTCTACGTTGATCGCTGTCATCCCCTGTGCCTCGAAGGCGTCAACGGGATTACTCTGCGCACTCGCACTTTTGATTAGAGCACGTCAGAGTGCTGACGGTGACGTGGATGTACAGAAAGGTGTTGCCTTAAGCTTATTAAACTGCACTTGACCGTCATTTAAGTTGCTCAGCTGTGTCCTATTGATTGCTCTCCTTGAGCATGTCCTCACTGCGTGGACTGCTTTTTTTCCTTCACTGTAATATAGATAGTTGAGCTGTTGTCTCAAACAGGTTATGAAGGCAGGGCTTTTAACTGATGGATGTGCCAGGACAGCTGGAAGAAGTAGAACAAGGTAGATTGGGGCAAACTTACCTTATTCTAAAACCTGAATGCTTGTCTTTGTTGTGTATTTACTCTGGGGGAACCTTGCCTCTATGTTGAGTTTTATCTATTTACTTGTATATAAATGATCTCCATATACATATGATCTCCTTAGTGGAGACTTTTGACTTATCAAGGTATGCTTGGTTTCAACCATGTTTCACTACTATTCTTACAGGTTTCTTGCCTTTTCTTTTTTTGGATGACCTGTGCCAGTAATGCTGAATGTAGATTTCCTTCTAAAAATCTTCAGCATCCATAATTTCCTGTGGGAAGGAGCTTTGCAGTTCAGCTCACACTGTGTGGAAATGTTTGTCTTTAGAGTGAGGGGGATTCCTCTTGAGCCTGTCTCGTGAGCTCACACTGCTTTCTAGGTTTTGTGTTAGAAGAGACTATGAATGCTTGTTAACATACTCAACCCTTCAGTGTCAGTGCCCCTCACATCCTTCCTCATGTCATTTTTGCCTTTTCCAAGGTGGAGGGTCCTAGTTTTACTTAAGTTTTCAGGTGGAATCTGTTCTGTATCTCAAAGTTTTGTCACCTTTTTTTATATTTGTGGGTATTTCTAGAGTTGGAGAGCAGTGGTGAAAATGGTAGCTAGTGTTCAAAAATGTAGGAATGACATGGATTTGTAGAGTGCTTTTATGTTTCCTGTCTTCTACTAAGAGTTGCTGGCGTTCGTTTTGCTTTTTCTGAGTGCTGCTTAACACTAAGCTGATGTCTCAGGGATTCCTTGCAGAATGGTCATAGCTATGTGAGAGGCTGCTGCTATAAAAGTAACTTTAAGATTGCGTAGCCATACATATGGAGAAACGTCATGACCAACACTGCATTTCATCTGATATTTTTGTCAGCTGGTCATGTGATGTATAGAGAAATTTTTTTTGCCTTTCATTTTTAGCTACCCCAGATAGCTTCTTGCATCAGTAAACTTCTATCATCACGCTCTTTTTTTTTCCCTTTCCAGATAACTGATGAATAATGTTGGGCAGCATAAGCCCTAGCTCAGCTCTGTGTAGGATTTCTCCTGCCTTTGGAAAAAGGGATTCCTACTCTGTCCTGTATCGCAAAGAGCTTTCTGTCTGCAGGGACCTTTTCCTTTACCCTAAATTATCTTGGTTTCTTTAAAGATGTTCAGTGAGGGATCTAGTCAGATGGCTTCTGAAAATCCAGGTAGAGTGTATCAACTGAGTCTCCCTCGCCCCAGGCTCAAATGTCACTAATGGATTTTGATGCACAACTTCCCTTTATCGAGGCCAAATTAACCCTCCAGCATATTGCACATACCCAGGCATTCACCCATTCCGTTAGTTTTTTCTGCCCATCTGCCTAATGCATATATCAGACTTCATATTCTGTTGTCCCTCTGATGTCCTTGAAACACTTTTTAAAATCTGGAGTCATATTTGCTTTCTTTTCATCACAGAATTCAGACGGTTTTAAGATGTTCCATGCAGCAGCCATTAGTTCGGGTATTTCTTTATGTCCTTTACAACTCCTGGCTGAATGCTTGCTGGTCCTGGCAAGCTGTTGCTGTTTAAGCATAGCTTTGTTTTGTGGCATCCCTTCCTGACCTCCCAGTCTGTGACATCTGTTAACATTTTCTAAAGAGATTCGGAGTGGCAACCTCCCCAGATATTTCCACAGTGAATACAAGTGCAAGAATAAATGCGGGTGTGTTTGCTGTGGTTGGTACAATCTCTGCTTTTCTTATGACTTGATCGCCTCTTGGCCCTATAAATATCCTGCACTGTCTGTAAAGGGTTGTTGGGGTTTTTTACTATTTATGCTTTATTTTTAATAGGTTTCTCAAACTTTCCTTTGTGTTGGGAGATGCAAGGAGGCTGCTTTTGTGGCTTTTAATTTAACCGGTTTGGGTTTTTTCGATCTTTATTTACCCATCATTTTTTCTGAAGGGTTTTGCCTTCTATTATCTCTGATGATGCTATTCTTTAATTGTTTTGACTTTCGTGATCTTCCTGAAATCAGTTTTGATGGTTTGTGTGCATTTGGTGAATTTTTTTCCCCCAACTTTATCCTCAAATCATCTCTGTGTTGCCTGTCAGTGTTTTACTTTCTCAGCTTGTTCTTTTTGCTTAGCATGCTTCCTTATTTTTATGGGGTTCTCTTCTTGAAATAAAAGCCATTATGGTATTGCTTTTTCCTGGAAGGATGTTAAATCGAGGCATGCCAAAGTCACAGAACAGGCAAGAAATAACTAACATTTTCAGCTATACCTTAGCACTGCAGCGCTGCCTAAGACCGAATTACCTTTCCATGTGGGTTCTTGATTAATTGTTGTATGGAGCAGTCATTTATGGCAACTAGAAAATGAGAGTTTGGCAGGCGGTGAGATATGGCTACCCTGTGTGGAGGCAGTTCAAGTCTCCAATTACTCTGACATTTCCTGCTTCTTGGCATCCCTGAGATTTCTCAGCAGGTGGTAATACAGTTCTAATATTATATTACTCCTGGAAGCCTCTCTCAGAGTGTATTGCCCTCCAGTCATATTACCCACTCTTTTAACTCATGGTGTGTGTTGTCCCTCTGCTCAGCCTGCTGTTTTCTTGCATAAATAGTAAGCTGGTGGTAGTGTCCTACTTCTCATCCTTCTTTTAATCTAGTTTCTAACAAGACTGTCAGGCCTGGTTTTAAACACTTCAGACTAAGCTTTCACTTCTACATAAATGCTTCCAGCAGTCCTCCTCTCGTCCCCTGCAGTGTGTTCCCAGTACCACCAGCCCCAGCGCCTTTTAAACATTTACAAAGAGCCTTTTCAGCTGGGAATTTCACCAGTTTCACCCAGTAGGAAGATCACAATACGCTCCTTGTTGGCACTGCCAACATAGCCATGTGATTACTAGAGCATCTTTCCCCTCCTCTCCCCCAAAACAAGGAGAAGGCTATAGAAAAATCAGCATCAGTGCTGAAAAATACTAAGAAAATGTAGGAATTCCCCGTCAAGATTAAGGATGTTCAGATTGTAGAAGTCAGACAGAAAAGCTTATCATTTGGATATCAGCTTAGACCGCTCAAAGCCTTTACTTGACAGTTATTCCTCCTGACAACTTCCAGCTGACAGGTTGTTTTGTCCCTTCTCTGGATCTGCCTGTTTTCTTCTCCTTAGGATCTAAATCCTCTGTAGCCTGCTTGCTGACAGGTCAGCATTGTGGTTTCTGTAATCCCAGGCAGGCCTGGGTTTTTCAGGAGGAGTGGTTTAGGTCAGAAAAGAACACTGTGACCTTGTATGTTTGTAGCATGTATCAGGAGCAGCTTTTCCTCAAATATTCTAGCCTAGGGCTGAAATAATAGTTAAATGCACTTTAACAGGAGCATCTGCTAACTTAAAGGAACCGAGCACTGGAGAAGCATGCGTACCTTGGTGGTTCTGCAGTTCATAATTAGACTGCGACAAAATGCTGCTTTATTTCCATCTAAGAAGGTTAAGTCAAACTTCTGCCTGCCAGACCTTGTTATCCTCGTCTGTCTTGCATGGTGCTCTGGTGTCAGGTGTTTTCCCCCTGCGCTGACACTTAGCCTGTCATCGAGTCACTTCATCTTTCATCTGCTCATCTGTGCGATTCTGTGGAAGTTGAATTGTTTATCCCTTGTCCAGCGTCTGTTGTGTGGGATATCCATTGGTTATCTCTCATCTCCTCTTTGTATATGTAGAAATACACCTTGTCCTATGTACGTGAGCTCTCTGGAGCAAGGATTTAGATCAGAGCAATTGCATAAGCTGGCGAGGCTAACTAAACGGTCTGTGTGAGTTGGTAGGGGGGCGCGTTGTCGAGCAGCCTGCTTGCCGAGTGCTGGCAGCCTGCTCTTCCTCGCGCGAGGAAGCAGGGGGGAGGCAAGTTCAGTCCCTTGCCAGAACCGGGCCCTGTCATTTGCAAGCGAGCTGCGGTGTCAGAACTTTGAGGCGAGCAGCTTTTCCTAGCCCGGCAGCCATCCTGCTGGGGCACTGCCGGGGAGATGCGAGTCAGAAGCTGACACCTTGTGAGGGTGTGCATTCGGACTCCGCAGACACTACTGTCACAGGTGACTGACTGTAGGGTACTTTATAATCCTAGCAGCGCCAGAACTATGCTTGGTCAGGTTTTGGTTGCCTGCTTTTTTGAGGTGAAGTGTGACAGTTAGAGACCCTGATAAGTTCTGGCATGCAGGTACTGCTGTCAGATAGCGCTGGGCAGTGTTTTGCTGGTCTGGTCGCACAGGCGTTTTTGTATGTGCACACCAACACCAGAAACGTTCGGGTTTGTATGATGAGTACAGGGATTCTGCTCTTCTCTGTTCTGCTTCAAGAAAACTAGGAGAGTAACTGCCACAAGTAGCCTCTGAGTTGTGCTGGGGGAGACGGATGGAATGGGAGTGTTAAATCCCGGGGTGGGTCCTCCCTTTTTCTGTCATTGGGGAAAGTCCTGTGAGATTGAACTGCCCCTGGGTAGGAGGAAGGAAAGGACTCCACCTGGAGTGCTGCGTCCAGCTGTGGAGCCCTCAATATCAGAAGGATATTGACCACTTGGAGCAAGTCCAGAGGAGGGCC